GTCATTATTCAAAGATACAAATAAATGGTCATCCTACCTTCTTCTTGCACCCAGTGAGGAGAAAAATAGCTTTATTGACCTTTTTGTACTAAGTCAACTTTAACTTGTGCTGATCCCACTGTGTTCATTCATATCCTATGACTCCTTTCAAACCTCATTATTTTTTTTCTGATAAGCATCAGTTACTTTTTCATTTGAAATACAAACAAGCACTGTGGCCAATCATATCTCTGAATACTTTGCAAGTCTGAAGGTCCCAAAGGTTATTAGAAGTACAGAGACATTATGCTGGATCTTAGGACAAGGGTGATTTTCAACCTAAATTCTTGTATTTTTAGCACCATAAACTACACAGCACACTAATTTAGCTTTCTCAGTGGAAAAAATCCTGAAATGCTTCAAAGTAGTTGGCTTTACATTTCAGCTACATCAGCTGGTGGCTGGAGACAGAGGAGTGGAACTGGGGCAGGAGTGGAATGAAGTTCAGGAAGGAGAAGATTCAGAGTTTGGATGCTGAAATGGGTATAAGAAGTCTGGGAGATGTAGTTAGGCACACACTTATCATGACAGAAAAATATATAGAAAGGGGATAAGGAAAGTACTGAAAGCTGAAAATAAGTGTTGTGGTTAAGAATTGAACATTCCTTTAGTTTCCAATGAAAAAAAATATTATATCTGACTAAAAAAATTGAAAAAACATCAAGTTTACAATTTTTCTGCTAGACAAAAGCAGATTCAACTATTTTGTGTTAGTATACAATTTAAAAAGATTTGTGAAAGAGAAATAATAATTTAGGGCTGCCACAAACATTATTGAGTTATTAATATCTCAAAAATTAGGTATTGATTGAATCATTCCAGAATAATACAATATTAATTAAGAGAAAATGCCTGTTCACAGGTATCTTTCTTCAGATTATCCCATAAAAATGAAAATTAAAAAGATTATACATCTGCAATTCTGTCTACAAGAGACATCCATCTTTATAATAAAGATAAAAAGTTATTTGTTATATATATATCTCAATTTAAAATTGGAAAAACTGGCCATTACAATCTCATGTATTAAATATCCTTTGGGTGCAAAAGAAAGGGAGAGAAAGCATACAAAATGAAAAATGTCATACTTTAAAGAAAAAAAAAAAAAAAAAACATAAAACCAACCAAAGGTACTAAATCCTTGGTCTTCACTTGATTTTACATCTTTATTTTGAAAACAAGATAGCATTTCTATGGCATCAGATTTCTACACATTATAAAAAGCAGCACTTCTGAATAAAATACAGTTTGGGGTTATTACATTCTGAACTAAATAAAACTGTTTAGAAAATCTATTATAATTATTCATTCTAAAATATTCAAAGTGATTTTTTTCAGGGAAGTATAGATAAAGAAGTAGTTTCACATTTCAAAAGTAACAAAAACCTTAAATTTGAAATTATCACACACCTTTCGTAACTTTCACATATTCCTTGAAAACATTAAAATTGACAACTCTGAGTTTTTCAAAACTATGATCTAAGCAGATATAGAAAAACACATGAACACTAACTACAAGGGAAAGTAAAGAAGCATTCATTTCAGCAGAACAGGACAAATCAATCTGTATAAATACATAGGCTAGTATACAATTTAGTATAAACAAACGCCATGCACATACGTTTATAAATATGGAAATTGAATTCCAAACTTAAAAAGTTTATCAAGTAAATGTGGAATATATATAAATCCAAAAATATTTAGTTATACCTAAAATATAAAGAAAAAAATATCAGAGTTCTGATAGTTTGCATAACAAAGTCAATTTAGGAGCATTAAATTATAAGAAATCTCTATTAATGGCTTTGAAAAGATTTTTGTTCTCTTGTTGGGTTTTTTTTGGTTCATTGGTTGGCTGGATTTTCTTAAGCATAGAAAATTTGAATGTAGTATTTTAATTATGGAAGAAATCCTGAAGTTTTAATGCAGATGGAATTAAAACAATAAAATCAAGAAGACTGAGATATCTAAAACTACGGTTATACAACATACAAACAGCATATTTATTATTGCTATTTTCCAAATTTTTCCCCCTGTAAAAAGCTGACTATCACTCTATCAGACCTGTTCAGCTGGTATTTTGGGCTGCTATGGGACCAGAACTTGGAAACCAGATATGCTTCTGCAATAAAACTACATGCCAGTAGACTTCTGAGAAGTGATAAAGTCCTGGGAACCCTGACCCGTTTTCAAAATAGAGCTACTGAATTACTCAAGGAATAATCTTTCACATGGTCACTGATAGCGTGCATTATGCAGAATTCAATACAAAAAAGATCACATAGTTCCATCTTTACTTGCAGTATGGATTGCAGTTTATTTATTATTATTTTGCCTGTCAATATATTTTCATCTCCAGTAGACTCAGCTGCAACTGAAATGCAGTGTATACTCACAGATGTAAAGATCTTGATAGTTACAATATAAAGGAGGAAAAAAGATATTCAGAATTTCAGAAGACAATTAAAAATAAAAGAAATACTGGGATCTTTAAAAGAAAAGTTAGTGTAAAGCAAACTACAGAGAAAACTGATCAAAAGCCCACAGCTGGCAGTATGCTATAGACTATTGAGAGAAAAACAGCACAGAAAAGTCACGTGAACAGATTAAATGAGAGAATTGCCCTTTTTTAAAGCAGTATTTTCTAGACTGAAAAAAGGAGAGAAAAGGAAGGTGACGAAGAAGAAAATATGTTTCTATGAGCTGTAGTATTTCATACTGTTCCCCTGCATTGTTACAAAATGAATATTCGGTAAGAAGCTTTCTGCCCAAAAGGAATGTATTTATTAAGCACAAAAAGTTAAAGCTACAAAAGTAATCTAGTACCTGTGCTTTCTGCATCAGAACAATTTTTGGTTCTGTTTGTTGTTCTGAGTACCACCCTTACTATGTCTTCAAAGCTGAAAAGTTATTGCAATTATCAAAACTTTTACCGAACAATAACTGAAGTATAAAAGGCAGTTACAAGTGAGCAACATGTAACACCAACTTGAATTCCTCATATTTCTTTTATTTTGATATGTGCAAAGAGGACAGATGCTTATAAAACATCACTAAAAAAAGATACCCGTTAAGAGAAAGGGTAACCTTGATTACAGAAAGCAGTTACTACCATAAATCTTAGGAATCTACTTTTGTGAGCTCTACAAGCCCAGACTTGGTGCTCTCGTTGATAGCATTGCTACTTACATTTATGTGGCTTACCTTCCTTGAGATCATAATATGAAAGAAAATCATGCAAGTGTAAGTCTCACCGTAGAAAATCAATATGATACATACAATATATGAACTCAAACCTAGATAGTATATGATACTAGATAGATAGTATCATAGAATCAAATAAAATTTTAACACCTCAAATTATTGTTTCTTTTGCAATCTTGCAGGGATTGGTCCTTGCCCCAGTACTGTTATCACTGATCTGGAATCAAGTATACAATGATTGTTAATCAAGTGTGCAGACAATAGGCTGGTTGAATACTGAGTAATAAAAGGAACAGGTCACTTAGTAGACCTAGGACTATATTCTGGAAAGCAGTAATTCTAGAAAGCAATTAGAAAAAATGTGAAACAGTTATATATTGGTGGCGTGCTTCAAGTAACATCCTAGGCAGGATATCTGGGTGCAACGTAGCAGGAGTAAAGGGAGGGTCAAATGGAATTGCTAAGAAACATTACTCGATAATGCAGCAGTTCTTATATATACAAAATTTGAAACCTTGTGAAGGGCAGTGGGAATTAAAAAGACTAATGTGCTACTAAAGATGCTTTTACTTTAAGGTACTCTAAGAGGTTTATTTTCATTTCATAAGAGAAGAAACCCAAGATATGGTAAGTTTATAAACTTAATTGTAGGAGAGAAAGTTGTGGTAAAACTGTGCTGGTCTTAGCATAACAAGAATTTATGTCTGAAAGTAAGTCAGCCATGTTCCAATTATATATCAGGTATGTATTTTTCAATAAGTAGACTAAACGAAACAAAGGATTTTAGAATATTTTCTGTAGTTTGTAGATCTGCAAATAAAAACAGACCTTACAAGTAAAGAAAAAGTTATCCACTGGCTTGAATTGTATGGCTTATGTTACATAAATGTTTAGAAGCACACTGGCATTTGTATCTATGTACATATGAAAATTCATTTTAGTTAGAAATGTTAAAATATATATGTTGGTAGGTAAAATCTCATTGAGGAATAAAACTGTTCGGAAATGAATTTGATTTTTGATATTTGAAAATTCATGATAATGCTGGCAGCAGACAAACTGGAAACTTTTTCATTTGGTTTGAAATTAAAATTACTATTTCTAAATTATGATGCAAAATTAGAGAACATTCATTTTTATGGAACTAAATATATGCAGTTATAAACAAAAAATGCCTCATTCACCACTGTGAATTTGTCCACAATGAAGATAAAAAAGAAGTTACTTAAAATATTTATTTGATCTAGTTCAAATAGCTCAATTAAATTTCTGTATTATTAAAAATTTCAACTTCATAATCAAGTAATAACGGTGATGAAAATAAATGTTAAATACTTAGCACTTTCATTAGAGATAATATCATGGTGTTAGATTAGCGCATGAAATCAATAAATATTGCTGGCTAGAATTGTCAGGCTCACAGCCAAACCAGTTTTTTAAACAAATACCTTTTGTCCTCTCATATGGTACTGAACCAAAAAGCTTTGTGAAGGAACCAGACAATTTAGCCAATAATAAGGAAAGTGAAATTACTAATCAGCTAAAATAACTCCAAAAGTGGGATAATTTACTTACCATTTAGATAAGAGTAAATATCCATGACTAGCTTAACGGCTAGAGTTCATTCATGATGCAAGAATTTCTAAGTAACTGTAATATATACTACAGACTGTTTATTACTATTGTAATTAGTACAGAATATTATATTAGCTTTCGGGTATAACTGCACTTCTGGAAAACCAAATAGATTTACTTACCAAGATGGTGGTAACGATTAAAGAGCGATTGGACAGGGAATCTGTGATGTTTGCCGGTTTTCCTTTCTGATTCTCTGTCATGTTAAGGCCACTCAATGGATCCCAAGTTCCTACCTATAAAACAGTAAATAACTGTGTAAATATTCTATTAGTTATATTTCAGCACCCAGAAAAGAACACTATGAGGAAAACCAGATTGCTAAAGGAAAAAAAAAATTAATTACTGAAACCTGTTCCATTATTCTTGGTCATTATATTTAAAGTCTGCTGCTTTAAAATGTGGTTCACAATACCTCAAAGTGTGTTTTATGAAGTGTAACGTTAAGTGGAAAATTGATGCACAGAATATCTAAAGCTACTCTGAATACTTAATTTTCCATTTAACTTTCATTCTTCAAGACAAACCACATCTGAAGATAACTTAACAATTAGTTGGAAATTCACTGAGGAGAAGAGAGCATCGTCTCTACTGAAGGATTTACCCTTTTCTGTGATCAGAGAGAACGGCAGAGGAAAAAGATGTTTTGGGGTAAACTTAATGGAGAAGACTGAAAGCAGGTTAAGTGCTATAATTTACTTGATTTACAGATAAATGTTCAGTATGTAGCTCTTTTGACATTTTATACCTTGAAATTCATATTCCAACAAACTCAATAGGATTTTTATCCAGGTAAGAAGGTCCTGGTTTATGCTTTAAGGTTCAGCTCAAGGATAGTCTCATATGCTGTATCGTAAGTAATGTGGCTTATGAATACATCCTTTGTCTGCAATTTCATCACTCTAAAACTGAACAGGGCTAGCAGTAAATGCAATTATCCATTTTAGACATCAGAATGTTTGTATAACTCCACTGTCTTAAAAAAACTCCAACAAACCACAAATGTTTCTTTTCTGTTTCTAGGCAGGACTTGAAATATCATTTCAAATACTAAGCATATCTATGGTAAAAAGTAAAGACACTCTTAAACTGTATGTAGAAAGACATTAAAACACTGTGAGGTCTGATTTTGAATCTGTATAAATATATATGCATATATAAACACATACTTTTTTTTTTTTTAATCTTTCAACCTGATTCCTGAGGAATTGTTTGTATATTTTTAAGTGCTTTGTTGCAGTACGGCTGCTGAGTAAGTTTGGGATGCAATGTGGTATGGGTTAAATAAGAAGAGTTTAATTTCTAAAACTGATAATACAGCAGAGCATGAATTAGCAGAAGCTGTAATAGAGAAAAGACAAACTTGCTGCAAGATTTTCAGTTCCACAGAAATTAATATTTTATATTTCTTCTTTGCATAGCACTCAGTTCCAAGTTGTCACTCCTTTGAATGGCTGTGATTCTTGAATTTTGGCCATACAGTACCTCATAAACTGATGAAAGAAGTATGATGGGAAGAAAGAACATGTGTGTCTCAGAAAAACAACTGGAAAATAAGATCTAATATATCATTTCAAAGTATTGAAACCAAATCTTACTACAAAAATCTTTTATTCATTTACCCCTTTAATATTATTTCATTTGGTGTCTTGAAAGGTTTTTAGGAAACCTAGAATGTTCAGACTTGCAGCTTGACCATAATTACAAAAATGTAAAAGAATTGAGAATTTTAATTGTAATGTTCTGCTAATTATTACAATCATAGTGTTTGCTTTACTTCAAAGAGAGACCAAACTAGAATACAATAACAAGGAATGACAAAGATGAGGACTTGAGTCTGTCCCTGCTCTTTCTTCACTTAATTGAAGCTGGACAATTCTCCTTTATGAAATTCAATTTCAGGTACAAAAGTAACACAAAAATTTCTAAGAAAACGCTATCATCTTAGTTGATCAATTCCAAATCCTAAATTCATTAAATTACATACTTTATTCGAGTTCAAGTTCATAATTCAAATTTATCTTGGCTAACACTTTGTTAATTAAAATACTTCCTACTCTACTTTTTAATGTAGAGACAGTCACAAGCAAATGGATAATTATCAACTGTCAGAATTTGGGATTTACATAATTGATCCATATAGACTATCCATAGCATTACTTTAAAAAGAAACTTCTGTCTAGACAAATTATTGCATTATTTTTCTAGATGAGGTTAATTGTACTTATATTGCTATTGTTGTGAATAAAAAAATTTAAGAAATGGACAAAAGCCACATGTTCCAAACAAGACATTCTTTGCATTATCTTTATTAATAAGCTCGAACCTAACAACTTACACCACAGATTTTGATATATTCTAATATGGATAAGCGCCCAAATCACACAAATATCTTTTCAAAGCTACTGCTTCTAGAGAAAACTGTGCATAAACAGTGCAGCAAATTCATTATTTTCTATTTGCTTGAACACCGTTATAATTTTAAAGTAGCCTTTTGAACAGAACTGCTAACGTGTTTCAAGTATAAAAGTTTAAAAGCCAAAAATGTACAAAAAGCAAATCAAGGTAGTCTGTTACATATAACTGCAGTTCAAATGACTTACAATTTACTTCTACTGCATTAAATTTACTGCATACAATTTACTTCTACTGCATTAAATTTAATTCCAACAAACTTTCAAGTTTTCTTAAAAAGTGAAATGAATTGGTATTCTAATATGTGTTATTAACAATATTTTCAATACAAATCCAAAGTGTAGCCCTCATATAAGCTACTATGAATAAATATAATTGTAACCCAGCAAAACCAGTAAAATAATTCATCACATCCCCCCCCAAAAAAGCATTGTACAGTTCTGAAACTTAAAATTTTGCTGAGTTTACATATACTCTATAGTTTACTGAGCTTTTGAGTTCTTTTGAGGTGTTATCCAAAAATATTCAATAGATTAAAGAAGCTTTCTTACTTTGTCATGTTTGAGAAAAAGCTATTTATTTTTATAAATAAGCCAGTATTCTTTCAATTATTCTTCTTTTTGAACTTCCTTCAAAACTCTCCTGAGAAAAGCAATGTTTTCTTTTGGCTCTAAGTTGAACAAAACTGTACATACTACTCACAATGAAGTGTCACAAGCATAGTATTAGGAAGGATCGTTGCCCTTCTGCAGCGGTACCATCTAACTATGCAGCCAAAATGAGAGACATATTCAGTTCCCAAAGAACTGAAAAATAAGTCTCCAGTTTACCATCTTTGCTTTATTATATTTTGTAGAGTAGTTAACAATACTGGTGATTACATCAAGAAAATAATTCTTTATACTGCATTGTAAGTAGTATTAATTCTTTTTATGTATTTTCCATTTGTAAAAAGCATAAGTTATTTTGCTTTCTTTGCAAATATCATGTTAATACCAATACTTCTGGCTTCCATAGATCTGTTATCTCTTTTTTTTTTTTCTCCTCTAACATTTACAAAACCCTCTGTTTATGTCACTTGCTGTGTTTTCCCAGGTCATTAATAAAGATACTAAATAAAGCAAGATCTTACATTGATATGCTGGACAATGAATTACAACTCATTTTGTGTCATTTATTTTCATCTTGTGTGTAGGGTCCTGAGCAAGGTTTCAAGCCTTAACATCCTTATTCAAGAAATGTGTTTCTTCTTCAGTGAAAAATTTTCATATCAAGGCTGGCATTAAATTCAGGTATTTTTTATCTCCCTGAATTATAAAGTGATTTTCCTTACTATGCACCTCCAGTGTAAGCACTGATTGACTGATTATAATTTAGATTATATTTGACTTAATATACTGGATTGTCACAGTTTGGGATTTTCATTGTGCTTGATCATAAATCGTTTAAGTGTGTCCAGAGTGTCTGTTGGCAAATTTTGCTGTACAGTACATCATTAGCAGCACTTCGATTACTCTTGATTTTGTAATTTTCATCTGACGTTGTCAGACATTAATTTTATTTTGGAAATGCATACTTACTGATAATGTTTGATTATCACCTTTCATTCAGAGTTTCAGGAACAGGTATCTTACGTAAAATCTGAGATCACATATGGCTTTTTTTTAAAATCAATAAGGATTTTTTCTGCTGTCAGTGACTTCAGCAGTCATTACACTTAAAATACATGATTCAGGTAATTTCCCATTATACTAACCACGAAATTTATCTAGAACATATTTTCACCAAATCTCAAAAAAAAAAAAAAAAGGTCTTCTAGAAATACTTCACAATAACTTTTTTCTCTCTCCAACATGAATATTTTTCTCCTCAAGATATCTCATTTTGTCACAAAAGCATTTCAGACTACAGCTGAAATCGTTGAATTTAACTGTTATCCTTCACACAAGACATCTTTCCCCAATATTTTGAAAGAGAGTAGATGAAATAATCGGTATTTACAGTATGGAAACACTACACACATAGCACAGAAAATTCCCACCTCACCATCTTCTCTCATCCCACAAAACAAATGAATGAATAAATAAATAAATAAATAAGAACTCTTCAGGAATTCTAACTACATAGGAAGAGAAGCTTGACAACAGAGTGGTTTGGAAGGAACATTGGGACAGCAAAAGAAAGGACAAAAATGGGGAAAGTCTGAAGAAAAAAAATAGAAAGAGGATGGGAAGAGCAAAGAGATGAAGAGGGACAAGTGGACAGGGATCAGATGGAAAGGGAAATGAACAGGGAGGGGGGTACGGAGAGAGCAAGGAAAGAGAGAGGGGGAAAGGGAAGGGGAGAGACGGGGAGAAGGAGAGCATAGCAGAAAGCAGGAGGGAAGGAGTGTGTTGTAGAGAGTTGGAGTGCACATGTGAAGGAAGGAAGGTAGGGGACAGAGGAGAGGGATTTATCACAGCTTTAACAAATGCAATCTAAAGGGAAAATAAAATTTAAAAGAAAAGAATAATAATAAAAAACACTAACTTTGAGACAGCTTTTTTAAATGAAAGGACCGGCTAAAACATATTCTTCCTACTAGAAAGTGTCCTGCTCTAGAGCTTAATGGGCTCATCCTGAATTCAGTATAGGATATTTTCTCAGAATAAGCAAGTTTTCTTCAGAGAAAAGCATTTGCCAGCATTGATTTATCTTTCTTCGTAAAATACCTTATATTTACTAACCAGTTCTATCTGATGTGCTTAATTTTCCTTTTCCTAATCTGGTATCATTACACCCTACAGAAACTGCTCTGCTTTTGCTCATATGTATCTTTGAATCTGTGTGGCATTCCTCATCATTCTTTACCAATATTTTCCCTAACTTCTAAACTTTTCTAATGTATGGTGACTAATTCCTACTGCTCTTTTCAAAGACTGTTTGCTGAAAACCTGTTATCACATCTCTTTATCACATAGCCAAAATGAGCCATGAAGGTAATAAAAGTATCTTCCTTTTCTCTGAACTTCTGTATAGAGAGCTCAGGCACATACTAGTTGTTTTTAAATATCCATATCCTTTTTACAACTATTTTTGATGTTGTCTCTTACATATACTTTATTACTGTTTCCCAAGTTAACTTTTTTTCTATTGTGGTTTTTAGAGTACCGTATTTTGTGTTGAATTTTATTTTCTTCCCATATTTCTAAACTCTTTAGACCTTTCTGGTTTATTTCTATATTTTCAACAGGGTACAAATCTCCTAATATATTCACAAATAATTTTTATCCAGAAAACCCAAGTTGCTTAGTGGTTCTTAAATTCCACTCAGTGTTCTTACAGCTAATCTTGATTTCAGACTTCCTTTCCTCATTTTCAACAGTTGTGACTTGCATGCAGACTCTTCAGCCACTACTGACATTTAGCTATTCCCATGTCATCAATTCTTTCATTTCTGTTTCCAGTAGAGAAGACAGATTGCATTGTACCTATTCCACTTGTACACAAAGCTAATTTACTTTCCAAATCTAATCACTGCTATATTCCTCTCCTCCCCCTGCCTTAAGTTTCTGAAGCCCTTCATGGGATACTTCATAGGAAGAATCTTTACTGTCAGTACATTGCTGAATGTTTAAAGACATAGTTTAGTCCTTTAATCACAGGTTTGCCACTGGATATTTTAAAATACGTTATTACCTATGAGAGTGTTTCAAAGCAAGCTCATGGTTTCTGAACCTTTTTAAAAATCTTCCTAGTAAAAGAACGTTAATATTCTAAAACTAATATTGGGGAGAAGTTTTGGATATATATGTTGTTTATGCTATTTCCTCCATTTAATGATTTATAGAAGAAAGGAAATGCAACTCTCTTTTATGGTGTCTTCCACTAATTTCTTTTTTTATTTGTGGCCACAATATCACCTTGGAGCAATAGCTAATAATCCTCTATCTGAAGATGAAGGAAAACATAATTATTATAGAACACCAACAGCCACAGCTATATACAAACTACAAGGCAGATGCAAATTGCAAAACTTATGTCTACTGATCACAAGAGTGTGAGAAACAGGTTCCTGCATTGCATCTCCATGGCAGGGTGGTTGGACAAGAGAGAGAAGGTGATCTGGTTTCAGATCGTCATGGTGTCATGTCTGCAGGACAAATACCTGTACATTTTTCCCAACACTTTTAATTCAAACATGGACAATTTTAGGCTACACAGAAAGGGCATTTCTCAATCTTTTCATCTTTCACTCTCTGTACAAGAAAAATTCATGTCAGAAGACAGACAAACCTGTCAGGCTACAGATTCTTAATTTTTTTTTTACAACTTACAGATGGAAACTTTGTATTCTGAGAAAAGAATTAAAGTTCCCTCTTAAAAACCCTGAAAATTAACAAAATAAAAGCATTTTTTAATTCTGTTTGAGGTAATTCTTCCCGAATTTGTAAGATGTAAAGAAAATACAAATACACATACCCACAGGTTCACACATGAGGATAGGCAATGGGATTGGAATGACAACTAAAACTAAACTCAATATAGACTGAAGGATATTAATGCATGGCTTTTCCCCAGCCCTCCTGAATCTAAGAATGTGGCTAGAAGCACACGATTAAGAGGACAGTAACTGTCAGACATCAAGATTAACAGCTTTTACTAGAAGACTTTGAAACCAGATATCAAATTGAGAACAAGTATTTTGTTTCATGTAACACCTGAAATGTTATTGAACAGGATACTGCTTTTAGGGGGTGGGGTTTTGTTTTGTTTCCCATCACTTTGGAGGTAAATGTCTTACACACCTTTTCAAGGCCTTCTTCCTTGAGGCTGATAACATCTAAATCAAAATCTGTCCTTAAGCCATTGGTTTTGTTGAAAGTTATCCTGCCTGTGAGGCCTTCCCAGTGGGCCTATGGAGAAAGAAAAAAATAATATCTATAAATAAATACCTCTTCTTTTGACCCAAAACCAATAAATTTTCTTCTGCCAAAATGGAAACAAATTATTCATACTATCTAAATAATTTACTATGTGACTGATTTTTTAAAAATGTATTCACTTTTTGCTAATTAAATCAATCTTCTTTCAGTGTTCACAACCAATTTTATAAACAACCCCCCATGTTAGCCAATAGACTATTCTTAGTGCATGAGATAAAAGACTGGTTTTTTTTCATTGCTCTATCATCCATGCGTACATTTCCCCTTCTGCTTCCATACTTGCCTCCCCTTTCCCCTCCTAAAGCTTCAGTCTCTTTCATTGATGTGGATTTCATTTTTCTGTCAGGAAATTTTAGTCAAATGAAGGTTTACTTTTGCAAGATGCTGAGTCCCCTGAAACCCACTGGGACAACAAAAATTGAGGTCACTGAGACAGTCTTTCAGAGCTGATTCCTTAATTTTATTAAAATGCAATATCTTTATTTCTTTATGACTGAAAGTCTACCTAGTTCTAAAAATACACTGAAGTAGAGGAGAGACTGTGGAAAACAAATTACCATCCTAAAAAGAACCAATGTTAAAACCAGGATTTTATTTCATTACAAGTAGTTTTCTTTATCACAGCATTTTAGAATGAGAAATACTGAATTAGGTATTAATTACATCACAAGACTTGAATATTCTATGGTGTTCGTCTTTAGCATATTAATTCTCTTGGCTTTACACTGAATGATTATCTATCAGTATCTAAATAGCATACTAGGACACCAAGGCCACATATGTTAATTCACCATGGGGGGTGGGGACGGTAGAGGAAAGAGATCAAAAAAATTAAATCAGGGAATAATTTTCATTCTTGACCTCTTTGAAACTTATGCCAGTAATCAGTTGCTGAATTTTTCATAATCAGTCTATGGTCTGGGGTTTCAGGGCTTTGGATTTTTTTGTCACAGATGTTCGACACACACAGTATATGTCCCAATGATCTACAAACAAAACTTTTATTTAAAATGCAGTTATTTCATCCTTTTATGTTTCCCTGTTCCAACTTATACTTCAGAAAAACCCATTTTCAAATAAAATTGCTGTCTTGGTTGATAAACTCTTTACACACAATAAACTGAGAGATTACCATCTACTGAAAAAAAAAAAGGCAGAATTCAAGTAGAATAGACATAGAAGAAAGTGGGAGTAGGGAGAAGGGAAAACAATGAAGCAGGACGCTATTAGTGACTTACCTCCTTAATGAGACTCATAAAGCGGGTTCCAAAGCGCCATGGTTTGTGGCGATTACACTGTAGTGAACTGACAGTCATTTGTGGGAACTGCTGGACAGCCACTGACACCACATGAACTGCGTCATACATTAGTGCTGCATCCGTCTGAAATTAGAATGAAATCAGAACCATGAACACAAAACAAACATATGTGACAGCCCAGCAGTGAGAGAAGGAAACAAGAAATTAACACTGCTCATTTTGTTAAAGAGAGAAAATTATCTGATTGCTTGTGTAGCACTGTAAAATGCAGCTCTATTGCGAAGTTCTAAATAGTGTCAGGACCTTTGAACTCAGCTTTTCTCTTTTTAATGCTGAAATAAGGGCCCAAACACCAACTTTTCAGGATCACAGGAAAACACTGGTATCTCTGATGACTCATGTTACTTTAAAAAAACAATGCATTCTGAGGCTATATATATCACTATATGCACTTCTGATTCAAGTTAGTTAGTTCCATGAGTGAGTGAGGCAAAAGAAAAAAAAAAAAAATCAGATTATCAACGTAGCTATGAAGAAAAGTGCACAGGCTAAGGAAATAATGATTTTCTGTTTTGAAATTACAGACTAGTGTCCTGCAGGTACTCGACTGATTCATTAACAACTTTTTTTATGGATATCAGTTTAAATCGCTGAGACAGATCTACCCAGCATGTTCTATAAATCAGAGGCAAATTAGAATTACATTAAAATACACATGCATTTTAACAGTTTTCATGTCCCATCCTAAATGAATAGGCTATTTATGCATGGTATGTGTTAACCAGTGCTGTATTAGCGAAGGACAGGGACAGCCACTCAGTACAGACTGTCATGCTGTACAAGAAACTGACATCTCTCTCCTGTTTTCTTTGATAAACAGAGGCAAGCCTTGGAACCAAAAGCAAGAGAGGACCTTAGATTCAGCTGGTGGAAATGACTGCTATGCCATCTGCTCAGCATACCTTAGAGGAAAAGGACCTATTTCCCCTTCTCATTCACAGAATTAGTGAGCTGTGAAATTAGTTCTTTAATGGATAGGAAACCTGGAGATTATTGCTCTTGTCACAATACAATACAATGCAATTCAAAATGAGCTTATATAGTGCCTTTCATGCAAATGCATCCCAAGGCTCTTTACAATAAAACTAAACATAAAAATGCAAAAACATTCCACCATTATAGCCCACAAGCTACTGTTAAAGAGGAAAATATACGTTTACATTTAAATGGCTCTCCCAAGGAGAGATTTCAAAATTCAAACAGAAATAAATCCTAATTTTAAAATAGCCAGTATAATATCTTTCAATGATCTCAGATGCCAAGCAGATTATGCAGAGGCTCCAAATCAATCAGAAAATATTTTTGCTGCCAAATTGTTCATTATCTTCAAGGCATTAAAGTGCTTTTAAAGCAAGTTGATACTTGACAAAGAGGCAGCAAACCACCAAAAAGTTGCAATGACATGCTGAGTAAGCATCATACAAAGCTTAATATTCTAGAAGCAGTTCTTAGCAGCAGTTGGAATCTAGACAACACTTTTTAAAATAAACTACACAGAAGTGGAACACATTACTCTGTCTCAGAAATGCAAACTCTTATTTTATTTTTTTAAATCAGCTTTACTTCTAAAACTGTAGTCCTTGCACCAGTGAAAAAAAAATTGAAATTGTTGTGAGACTTTTGTAAAAACAGCCCATGAAGAAGCAAGTAGAAGTCGATTAATTAGATATAAATTTGGACATGGAATTGATAAGACTCATCAGGAAGAATCAAATGGACATTATGCCAGATTCAGAGCAAAATAGCTTTCTGTCAAATTCTGTAAGCCAGTGAGCTGAAAATCTGTAGGATGTCATGACACTATCAACTGCAGTGGAAGCATTAAAAAAGGCATTTCAGTTTTAGAAGTAATTCAAATTCTGATAATATTCTTCATATTTGACTGACAAATATTGCTTCGTTGGAAATAAATCTACATCAGAATGTATTTCTTTTCAATGCATACAACATAAACTAATCACTGGCTAGAAGTTGAGTGTACTATTTGCTTTTTAGATAGTACAAGATAAACCCCTTATTTACATAGGATGAGATTCCACAGTCCACCTTGTATAGGAAGATCAAACTTAAATGTAGGCTTAAATGTTTATACTGAATAAAGATAGAACCATACACTCAAAAATATTGGTTTAGTGGTTCAGTATTGCATGCTTCTCACTGGGTGAAGTAATTGATTTTACTGCAAGAGAAACAGCACAGAACTCAAGAAAATATATAAAGTATATAATTGAATTTGCAGGTTGAGCTAGCCTCTTGGTTTGTCACTTTACCTTTCCTCTGAGAGACAGGAATTGATAGCTATTGGCCTAGATCTCCAACTTCATTCATTAGCTTTACATCTCACTGCTCTTTGTCCATACAGTTTTCTCTTCCTTAAATCACACTTTTGGAACTAGGCTTTGTGGTATAGGAAGTACTGCAGATTTCAGCAAAAGTCTATTTGAGAACCAGGGAGGAAATGTCCCTAAATTAATCTTTTTTAATTTTCTTTCATCTAAACAAAAATTAGCACTCTGGAAGGAAGAAAAGGTAGAAATTTTAGGAGAAGCAATGGTTCTTGAATTTCAGATGGAAACATTCTACAATGTTTCCATTCACTGGAGCACACGTAAACCAATAAAAATATCCTGTTGAAAAATTACATTAGTATTGTTTACGTCAACTTGTACAAACCTTTTAAGAATTACACAGTATTTCACAAATATACAGTTTCTGAATTGTATGTTGGGGGGCTTTTTAGTCACGCAATGCTATTTAATACTCAATGAATTTCTTGGATATAGATAAGCTAATCTAAAATACTGATCATGATACTGTCATTTTTATTTCTACAACTACAAAAGAAAAAAATTACAACTACAGAGCTACAAAAACTTTCATCAAATTGAAATAGAATGACATTCAGTTAAGTGATTAAGATGTCACGTAACAGATGTCTGTAACCACAAGTCTGTTCTTCAGTTGACTCTATCAAATAACTAGGAATCTTTTAGCACTCAGAGGCAGTAGCTTAATCATCAAAGACATGATTTCAGTCACAATATATCTCTGATAGAGAGAAACTACCAATCTGTACCTGATTTTTCTCCGAAACTCAGTTGAATATTACACATTTTGTCTCAGTATTCTGTCATTCCTTTACCTCCTCTCTTATTGTGGATGTTGTGTTTGCTTCTACTTTTTACATGCTTTTCTGCATAATCACTTTTGAGTCCTGCTAAATTACTTGCTAAATGCTGCCTAACAAGTTGCATGGAAGTACTCTAATCTTACTGTGAAAGGGCTCTGGTGGAGCTAGACTCCATAAAGAAGGTAGGGGGGAAAAAAAAAAGCTAGCTCTAATAATAGAGAAAGAGGCTATTATTTCTCTCTGGCCCCCCTCAGAGTAACAGGTGGCCTTCTTTGTCTCCAACCACACCCAAAGATGTCAAAGGTACATATATGCTGTGACTTTTGTCCCATGCTTGCTAGCCCTGGTTAATCAGTATTGTAGGGTTTGAGTTTGGGGACTTGGAGCTGGGGCAGGAGATTGGAAGGCCAGTGTTTTTTACTGATTTCTAACCTATATGGGCAAAGCTGATGCAGAAGAAAAACACTACAGCCTGGGTCTCAGCCAAGAACAAATCTTCCCCATGTAATGGAACTAACAGATTGCTGCTCTAATAATTTCTTCTGCTATACAAAAGGTGTGATTTTTAGTGACCTTCAGCATGGCTGGTAGGTTAGACAAGAATCAGCTGAAAATCCTGAAATCAAATGGTCGGTTTATGCACTACAGCTGCAACCTGAGATCTAGGTCTGTACTTTAAGACCTTCCAAAAAAAAGTGAGAGAAAGGACTCACACTCTGACATACAGATTAAATCCAAACAAACCTAAAAGAAGAGAGGATTCGTGGTCTTCATAATCATCTTCAGACTTACAGTACATAAGACGTCATTGGTATTATTTGATATCTGACTCAACAAATGTGCTGCTTTTGGAATACCTGTGCTTAATTAACTATTAAGGGTTAAAGAGAAAATTGCATATTCCACATTTAATGACCTTGAATCATGACCTCTGTGTGCACCGTATTTACACAGCAATGTTTTTGTATAACATTTCCATTTACCTCCATCAAACTATATAAGGATTTCATGTACAATAAACCACTCCCCTCTGGTTAATATCTCAATTCTCCAGAATTATCTCTAAATTGCAAAAATATGTGCTTTATTTTTAAAAGGCGTGATTTTTACCACACAGTCAATTTTAACACTGATTTCAGATGAAGGATTGTTAGGCCAATACTGTTTCTCTATGAACTGTTTCAGAAAAAGAACATTTCTCAAACAGAAAAAAAAAAAACTAATTCAGCATTTGCTGTAACAGATTGTAATCCTCTATAATCTACAAATTAAAAAAAAAAATTAACTGTTACATAGGTGTGATCTAAAAGAATTTTCAATTACTCAAGAAAAGATGATTAAAAACAATTTGAAAGCAGGAAAAAACCCTTAAGTTTTCAATTAAATATTAAACTAGTGTGATTGTATTTCCCTGTAATTAAATTTATTACTAATAAAAGTCTATGAAGAAATAGGGTCTTCTACTTAAAAGGTGCTCTGTGAAGTGCTTGGAAACACCAAAGAATTTTCTACATTGAGTGACATATGTAATAAGTCAATGGAAAAGAGAAACTTAATAAATTCACTTTTTTTTTTCTTTAGTATTTGATCTAGTATGGATCCCAGTAAAGAATGAGTTATTTACAATCATAATAATTTGTTTTCCTAGATCAGAAGGTTCTTGTATTTAGAAATCTGTGATGCACAAGATCTCGTAATTGCTGTATTTGCCAATGTTTTTCAGCAGCTGTGGTGAACTCATTTTCCACCGAAAAAGAATCAAAAAGAGGGTCATACAAGACTTTAGAGAAAAAGAAAGAAAATAAATTAATGAAGTTTTAGTTAAGAAGCTAACATTTTAATAATGTCATTTATTTATTTAAGAATTCTTAAATTTTAACAATTTAAGAAAATTAGACTTCTTAATAATTTGCAAAATTCTTTTAAGTGTAAG